CTTCGCCCAGGAGCTCGTCACCTCCAACCACTCTGGGTGCTTTCCTGCTGGAGGGGCTACAAAGCAGGTTGGCTTCAGCACAGATCACCCACAGGGAAAATTTACAGCCCTGCCTACAAAGCACAGACTGGAAAATGATGAAGGTAGACAGAGGAAAGCAGCACCAATGTGAAAATCCAGCATTTGCAGACCCTCTCTCTATGTCGGACTGTTTGAGACTACTGACCAGCAAACTATTGACCAGCAACTACTGACCAGAAATTACTGACCAGCAACTGCTGACCAGAAATTACTGACCAGCAACTATTGATCAGCAACCACTGACCAGCAGCTGCTGACCAGCAGCTCGTCCTGCCCCCAGCAGATGCACCAGCACCCTGGTTATGTGGCCTCTGAGTCTAGTCCACATCTCTTCTTGCTGCACAGGGGCAGCAGCTCACTCACATGTCCAGTTGTCCATCCTAGGGAAGGATGGGCACTCTGGGGCTCCCAGAGCCACCTCCTAGACCTGCCAGCTCTTTGACCCTGTACCTGATTATCAGAGACTTCCTGCTGGCGGTGGGGATGAGTTTCTCAGGGCATTCTTACCTTCTTTCTTTTGGGAGTTAAGGAGACCCTTGGATTCACATCGCCAGGAGCTGTAGGTGCTGTGACACCTACATCCAAGTGTTTCCTCCTGGAACCCATCCTAAACCTGGTAGTTTGGTGAAGTTGGACCCCTGCAGTGGCTCATGGGGCAGGAGGCAGCTGTGCTCCTGGTTTGGGCCATCCCTCCTTGGGCTGACTGAAAAAAAAACAGAGCAAGAAGTTGTCTTCCACGAGTTGTCTTACATCCAAGTAAATTCTGGGCGTGTCTGTGCTACATATGCATAAAGTGGAGATTAAAATGCATCCTGTAGTGTGTAATAGGGTTTAAAAACAGCTGAGTGGAGGTAGGCTTTGCAGGAACTATTCACTATCAGGTATAGAAATGTGGGTATTTAATCGAAGTAAATAAGAAGATTTCCACATCAATCACAAACAATACATCAGGCTGTCTGTCAGGTGTTATTCTCTGGGTTGATAAGTCACTGCAAAGGACTTAAGATATTCTCAGGTAAATTTGTATCCCCAGTGTTTAAAGTATGTGTTCTTCACATTTGTCTTCCGTTGACAGTTTTTGTCTGACAGTTTTACAACTCCAGCTCCTTTTCTGCTGTAGAGATGTTTCCATCAGCCTGCAGGAAGGTGAGAGCCCTCTCCACTGAAACAATCAAGCGAGGTGCTGAGCTTTATGCTGTTGACTGTCTCTGCTGAAATCAGAAGGCCCCATTGCCCAGTTTTTGTGGGTCAGGGCTTCATTAAACTGTAGGAAGGTGTCAGCACCCAGCCCTGCTCCTCTGCTCCCGCTTGTCCATGGATGTGCCAGTTCCTCAGGACACCAGCAGCCAGGAGCAGCACGGGCAGCACGTGCCCACATTTATGTTAGGAGGGTGAGCTCTGACCTCAGAAAAACCCTAATTACACCATCCATGCCTTCTCTGCTGCTGTGATTTATGTCCCCACTGTGCACTCTTCAGGGTCTCAGCTTTTGCATTGCAGACTCCTGGAAGCAGCAAGGCTTTCTATTTGTCTGCAAATATTTGCATACGCACGGAGCTGCAAGAGACTTTCTCCACCATTTATCTCTTACTTTACACAGCTCTGTTCTGCTCATTTTTTATCGCTTCTCCTCCAAAGTAAAAGTGACAGAGTCAGCCACAACGTTCTTGCAAGTGCTGCAAGACAGAAATCCATAACCATCTCTCCCCCTGCACCTCTTCTATGGTTTTAGACAATTAATTGAGAAAGTATTTTCCTGATAAGGGTGCACCAGAGAAGAGGAGTGTATGAAGACTAGCAACAGGAACTGAGTAGAATTATTTTTGACAAATGTTTTATTCTTTTTGGGAGGAAAGGTTTTTTGGTTTTTGTGAAACAACGCTTCAGTTGCGATTGAATTTCTCAGGTAGTTTTGACCAGCTATTGGCATTTTGGACTTGTTTTGTGCAATTGATGGCCAAGGAAGGAGTGGTTGGAATCTCACCGAGGCCAACAGGGATGCAGAGGAAGAGACATGGGACATCTAGTTCCCCCTTTCCTCCTCCAGCTGGGAAAGTGTCCTACTCGTCCTTTCCATGTTCCTTTATTTCTTTGTCTCGGCTGGGTGGTTCAGTGTTTTATGCCAAATGAACAGCTCGCACAGGAGGGGCTGGGAAGGACCTACCTCAGAGTTCCCACATGACCTGGGGAGATGCTGCGTCACATCTTTGCTCTCAGCATGAAGGATGGCAGGGAGCAACGTGAGCTCCACCTCCTTTTCCTCTGAAACACATCTCTCAGCCTTCAAATTATAAAGAGAACTCAAAAGAGCAAATTTGGCTACAGGGATAATTTTTAATAAAGAGACTTAAAAAACCTGATTCCCTTCTCCAGCAGACACATGTCAGGACAGTGCTTCTGTGCCACTGTGGGCAGCTTTCCATATATAAACTCTCCTTGGCTATTAAGGAAGACTAACTGAAAAATTTTTAAAAAGCCATTTTTTACTATGAAGGTATAATTTCTATGCCATTTATCTCAGCCATAGTTTGCTCATGCACTTTTACAAGCCAAACCTCTAAATCTGAAGGGTGAAATACAGCAATAATTGACTCCATTAGCCCAACGGTTCTCTATTTGTTGCTGGTATTTACAAAAAATAAACACAGGCTATTTGTTTTTGATAGTTAATGCATGAGTTTATCAGAGAGAGAACATATCCTGTGCTTATACTCACACACAATGTTTATTTACATTTTTAAAGCATGTTTACTGACCTTAGCAAATAGCATTTCCAAGAAAGCTGCTCTCAGGTTAAGCAAATAACAAAGTGATCAGAAGATTATTTAAGGAGGGAAGTGAGTCACTGTCGTAACAACTGGAGGGCCTCCACCAGGAATGCCAGGGCTGGAAACCCATGCAGAAGGAAGAGTCCCATGGTGTGGAGAGATGTGGTGCAGCTGGGGGAATATGAGGTTTGCAGTGCCCAGGAATGGGGGCTGTTGTTGACACCTGAGTTGGGAAGTGGCATTTTGGATGGCACAGGTCCTCTCCTAGGAAGGGTGAGATGCCCTGTGTGCCCACATCCTCCGGAGCTGTGCCGCAGCGGGCAGAGGCGCAGCGGGCAGAGCACAGAGGTGTGTGTGTGTGTACCCCAGCGAGACCCAAGCTCATTGCAATGTCTCAGGCTGGAATCAGACCGTCCCCGCCGGGTTTTCCCCTCTCACAGGGCCTGTCCAGCCCCATGCTGCGCTGCCCATCCCAGCGCCTCCTGGACAGGATCGTGCGGCGCTATGCGGAGGTGCCGGACGCCGGCAGCATCTACATGGATCACCTCACGGACCGGGACAAGCTGCGCCTGCTGTACACCCTGGCAGTGAACTCACACCCCATCCTCTTGCAGGTACGTGCCAGCCTGAAACAGCAGCCCTCACAAGCAAACCCTCGTGTGAGATGTGTGCCAGCCTCAGGGGCACAGGAGTCCCAGCCCTGGCCTTTGTGTTTCGTCTGTGGGGCTGGGTGGCTGAAGCCAGGCAGGCTCATGAGGTGCTCCCTGCATAGGTCTGTGAGGCTGGGGACAGATAGGGAAGCCCAGGTGTGTTATTGCACTAGAGCACTGTGAAATCCAGGGTTTTACACATCCCCAGCACTTCAAAGTGTTAGGTTTGCACTGCTAATGCATTACATTTAATCACAGCCTGTTTCTGGGAGAGAAAATCATGATTTCCCATGCTCCATGTGCCAATGCTGTGTTTTCTGTTCTCCTGCTGCTGGTGACTGGCTCTGGGTTTGAAGGCGGTGAACTGGGAGGCTTCACACCCTTCCCCTGGACCCCTCCTGACCTGCCTGGCTCCTCTCTTTCCTTATGTTTCCAAGGGAGAGTCCTCACCTTTCCCCATCCCACCTTTAGTCCTCACTGCTGGGTCTTGAAAACCTTCATGATTCCATGAAGAAAAGATGGCAGTGGCAGCATCATCCAACCCTGGCCCCAGGCCACTGCTGCACTCAGCAGCTCGCAGGGCTCTGCGTGGTCCCAGGGAGGGGGAATGGTGCTCGTGCTCTGGGATGCTCCTGGGGGTCATTCAGCCACCCCAGTTATGGGTCACTGGGACATGAAGCTGTGGTCTTTAGCACTCTGAAGACATGGGAACACAACTTGAAGAGATGAGAAAAATATGCCAAAGAGAAAAAACTAGATTTTTACACAGTTGCCTTCACAGCAGAAGGGAGAAGTAACCTTAAACATGAAGCTGGATGAGTTCATAATGGCTTGGCAGGGTCTGAGGTGCTGGGGACACAGATGAGTTTTAATGCAAATGACAGAAAGCTTTGTGCTGGCATAGCTCAGCAGTCACACGGTTTGGTTTCCACCTGGGAGATCCGTGTTTCTGGCACGAGCTGCAGGGATGCAGGGAGCCCAGCCCAGGTGTCTCCACCAGAGCAAACACCCACCACATTGTAAGAGACTGCAAAGTCTCTTACAAATGAGCCTGGCAGTTCTCACCAATTAGCAAAAACTGCTTTAGCCTTACCTCAACTCCAAGCTGTGACTTCATCTGTTCAGTGCTCATGAGGGACCCATCAAAGACACCTAAAATTAGCTGTTCTGTGGCTAAAATTTTCATGAATCTGAAAACTATTATTATCTTGGACTTTCCAGTTAGTCTCTCTTACAGAATAAGTCTCGAAATACCAGATTCTCCCTCCATTACAAAAAAAGAACCATAAGAAAAGGAAAAAGGCATCCTAACTCCTCCAGGATGGGGTAGTAAGTACCTCTCCCAGCTGCTAGGGCTGGATGGGGTGAGGAAGGATTGCAGGCTGGCTTGGAAACCAAACCACAGCCCTGCTGCTTTTAGCCAGAAAGGGCACTCTGAGAGGGAGGCAGGTCTATGGGCAGAGGGCAGGGGCAATCCCCCCTTTCCTGCTCTTCCTCACAGATCTTCCCCAGCGTGGAGGGCTGGCCCTTCCCGCGGTACCTGGGCTCCTGTGGGCGCCTGGTGGTCAGCGCCAGCACCCGGCCCCTGCGCGACTTCTTTGGGGCGGCCCCCGAGGTGGCCGCAGACCTGGCCCTGCAGCTCCTGGCCGTGCTGCGCTCCATGGCCAGCAACGACCTCAACTACTTCTTCTACTTCACCCGCGTGGACGCTGGCACCTTCGGCGTGTTCAGCAACGGGCATCTGTTCATCCGGGATGCCAGCACGCTGGGCATCATCGACAAGGAGGAAGGTACTCAGCGGGCTCCGTGGCTACGCATCTGTCACGGGAGGGCTCGGGAGTCAGGGCAGACAAATCCTTCCCCTTCTGCCCTTAGCTCCACTGCAGCCTTTTTGGGGTTTTTTGTTGGTTTGTTTCGGGGTGTTTTTTTTTTTTTGTGTTTATTTTTTTTTTTTTTTTAATTTTCAAGAAAGCGCAGGAAACAGTTGCCCAGAAAAGCTTTTCCAAAATTCCACTCTGATGGGGCAGGCTCTATTGTGTTTTTTTTTTGTTTTTTTCAATTAACCAAACACCACTTACTAAATTAAATTATGAGACATTCACAGAGAGACTCCCCATCAGCAGCTCCTGCCATCCTGGCTCGGAGTCGGGAAGGCGACGGGTGTTCTGTTTGTGCAGTCGGTGGTTTGGTGATCCCTCTGTAGCTGGCAGCTTTCAGTGTGCACCGTGTGCTGAATGCTCCCATTTGAAGCCTTTCTTTTCAAACTTCTGCCATGCAAATATCAGTATCTGCAAGCAGAAACTTTGTAATTTCATTTGTTCTAAGTAGTGGGTCAAATTGGACCCTTTTTATGCGCATTTATCACATTGACTAATAATGGTTATTATTATTTATAACAATAATAACAAAATCTTCCTTTTTGTCACTTTTACATAAAATCAAGGGTTAGTATTCAATTTTCACAGGTTACATTGGTCTACTCCTGCAAGTAGAGCTAGTCAAAGACTATTCATCCATTAATTTAAGTTTCATTTTGAATATTCAGATTTTCAAAAGGTTTTTCCTCAGCTCCCACATTCAGCTGAGTATTCAGAATATTCAGAAGCAGCTGTCAGAAATTTTTCCACTGGATTTCCTTTTCTTATCCCAAAAGCTATGACTGTTAACTCGACTTCAGCTAGATGAGCTGTTGTTGCAAGGCAATGATTTTGGTTAACATGGAAAAAATTACAGGTCTGGCTATTTGTGGTAGTTTTTTGTAGGAGCTCCACATTTTAGATTTGTACTCCAATTCTCATTTTTTCTGCATCAGCTTGACTCGACAGACTCATCTCCAGTTCCTCTGACAGGCAGTTCTGAAGAGCTCTGCCATTCAGAAAAATATACATATTTCAAAAGCAAGAAAATTGGCACATACACAGCTTCAGCACTGAGTAATTTGTAGTGAAAGGTGGTCACATCCTTTAGACAGTAACAAACCCCATGTTAGCACAGAGGCATAGCTATCTCTGGCTGTCCAGGAGCTCACTATTATGTTTCTAACAAGCGGTTTAATTGTCCCCAACAGGGAGCCAGCTGATCGATGGCCAACAGGAGTATAAAGATATCTTCAGCTGCCTGACTGTGGACTGCCAGTCTGCGTTTGCGTCCTGTGACTCCATCAGGGAGACGCACAGCCTGGTCATGGTGTGTCAGGACCTTCTGCCGAAGCTGCTGACGGGGAAGTTCGGGCCCCCGGTGCAGGAGAGGATCGACGCCTTCCTGCAGCGCTGCGCCCGCGGCCTCGGCGACGACCGCGGTGCCAGCGAGGCCATGGTGGAGCTGGCAGAGATCCTGAAACCTCTGCGGTCCTGCGACTCCCGCTTCGCCTACCGCTACCCTGACTGCAGATACAGTGACAAATTCTGACACAGGAGCTGTCCCTGCCAAGGACTGGGGCAGTGGCAGCCTCCTCCCAGCGCGGGAAGCGAGAAGGAGCCAGGGGAGCTGGAAAGAGCTGCCCCAAATCCAGGGCGTTCTCAGTGTAAGAGGGAGCAGAGTGCATGTGGGATTCATTATTCATCTCCCAGAGATGCATTCGTTACATGGGATATAGACATGGTGTATGGTTTGTGGATTATTAACATTGTCATGACTGACAAGGGGCCACAGGGTTAATAAATCTCATTCACGTGTTTTGGCCTTGGAAGAGTTTCCCATGCCATTTGTTGAAAAGCAAGGCAGGATGCTCACAACCAGCTAGATAGAGGATCTTTATTGCCAGGAAACTCCTTCTGATGGAGATGATCTATAAATAATATGGGATGGATGGATGGATGGATGGATGGATGGATGGATGGATGGATGGATGGATGGATGGATGCATTTAAGGGTTTCCCTGTGGTTATTATTAATGTGCTAAGAATCATAGCACACAGGATGTGAAATTTCACATAGGATGTGAAATTAACTTATAAATGGCAATGGAATGACCAGATCCATTCTGTACCATCACAGCTCACTTATATTTTATAAAATATTTTAATTTTATTGCTTTGATGGCACACAGAACAGAAAGACACAATCAAAAGCATTAAAAAGCTGAAAGGTTCCATGTCTTTTGAGACTTAATTTCTCTAATCCCCAAATATAATTGCTTCTAGTCTTTCCCAAGTCAATGGACAGTAGTCGGAGACTAATATAGGGCTTTGGTTTAAGATGAGAAAAAATTCCAGCTCTGGGATGGGATTGTTCAGCAGATATTTTCACATTATTCTCTCTAAAGTGCAGGAACCATTTGCACAAAACCATTCAAATGGGAAAAGTACCTAAAGAGGAGAAGGAACACAGGCAGAGGATGAAACATTAATTTACACTGAGTCTGACATGACTTGCCAAACACTGAATACTCCAGTGTAGGTGTTGGGACACCCACCAAGAGCTGGGGAGATCTAAGCTCTGACCAGCAAGAACTGCAGCCATCCTCATCCATTTGCCTTCCAGAGGAGGAATTGGCAAGCCAGTCCCCAAAGGAGTGAGTCAAGCACTTAAAATTTGGGGTGGTTCTGAAAACATTTTGCAGCAGTTGTCAAACCAGGGCTAGATCCAGGTGCCTCATTTTGCACGAGATGGTTGCAAAAGTGGCAAACCACAACTTTTCTCACCCAGAATCTGTCAGTACCTCTCATATGAGGTCCCTGTGAGGTGTCAAAAGCCAACACCAAACATTCCTGAATGTGTAGAGGTCAGACAGACCTCACCAGGGTTTCTCCTGGGATCCAGGCACGCAGGAGTCACTGAGCAAATTTGACTGAGCTAAGTGAGAAATGAGGCTTTCTGGATCATCCACAAGAATTTTCATCATGGAAAGGGTCTTTTTTCTAGCTATGGTTAAAAAAAATTGTTAAAAATGTAAAGGCAGAAAAAGATGTTAGTGCATTTGCATTGCCAGTGGTTGTTCTGACTTGTGTTGAACAGAGAAGGAATGCAAATCCAGATTTTGTGTTGGCTATGAGGGGCTCTGTGCACACAGAGCATCCAGCCTGGGGTTCCAGGCAGGTGTGGGTGAAGGCTGATGAAACAGGTTGGGCATCCAAAACCACACACAAAGGTCTGACATGGGGGAAATATGACTCAGGACAATTATTTTCCCTTTCTTCCTGGCATAAAGTATCTAGTGCACCTTTTACCTCTCAAGACGTAGAAACATTGAAAATAATAAGTTTAAGTTTAGCTGCAGGCCCAGATGGTCAGACAGCAAAGAGATTTAAATATACAGCCTCAGCTATGGCTGCAGCCCTCTTTCCTGCTTTCAGTCTATTTCTACATCGTGGCTCTCTTCCAGAAAGAAAAACATGTCCTTCACTGAGATGCACAAGGCTGTCTAACAACCTACTTCCATCAGTTTTTCTTGAATCTGTCTGCATCTCCAGCCTCTTGGGGAGTGGGTTTACCTGGGTGTTAGCTCTGGGCCCCTTTTCCTGCAGGGATTATCCCACACTGTGCTGGAAACACAGAAGAAACACACAGAGAGGATGTGTGTGCTCAGCAGAGAATGTCAGGAGTAAGCACAGATCCCTCAGGAATAGCCCAGCACTGGGCAAGAGGACAGAGAAGTGTCCCACAGGCCCTGGTAACTCACAGCCTGAGGAGCTGGGGGTCACAAACAGAAGAGCTGTGCTTTTATTTTGCTGCTTGGACTCATTTTTCAAGGCTGCAGCAGAAGCCTTGAGACACGTAGCATCTATTTTTACAGGGCTTGATTCAAAGTTGTTAGAGCTGAGAGGAGTCTCCCTGCTGCTTTTAATAGACTTTGATACGAATTTAAATAAAAAAACCCACTCATGATTAAAAATAACGAAATTGTGGATTTACAAATTATTAAAGCATTGGGAGCTGTGTTCTCCACCAGTTTCTTTGCAGACATTGATTACAAAGGCCAGGCTCATGTAAGACTGTGACTAATAAGCCAGCCATAAAATCAGTCCATGGCTCAGAGAACAATTATTTTCCTAAACTAAATCTCATTTCCTTATATTTCCCTGGCCTCTTTTTATTTTTTTTTTCAGAATTGCCAATTTTTACTCTTAATATTTTCCTTTTTCTTGGCAGTCAAACTCTGGAATCAGTGCCCACCCTGTCTGCCAGCTTCAGTCAAGCCTTAAAATCCTAGTAGGCCAAGCTCCAGAAGGATGTGAAATTAACTTATAAATGGCAATTATTTAAAGCCTAATCCTTCCCAAAAGAACTCTCAAGCAATTTTTTCCTCTCTGTATTCGAGTTATTTCTGTCAGTGACTTTGTTTGAGCCTTTGCAAACTGTTCCTGGTAACAACTTGAGCTGTTTCCACAGCAGAACAAGAATGGCAGGAGAGATCTTCCACCAAACTCCCAGTCAGCCTCAGCATCTCCTTTTACTGTGGGTAGTTTGCAGCTGCCTTTATGCCCAGCTGTTTATCAGGCATCTCTCTTAGTGCCCTATGTCCCATGTATTTTTAGAGTTTTCATGTCAAGAGGTTTGTAAAACTCTATTTTTTGCCTTATTTTGACTCGCAGCGTATTTTGACCCTGTCATTTCTCAGGGGGTTGAGGCTGCTACACATCCTGGGGGGTTGGAGATTCAGATTTCCCACTCCATAGCTTTTGTGGGTGATAACTTCTTGCCACACTTTGCACACACACACACACACACACACATCCCCTTCCCTGCCAGCTGCCAGCCTCTCACAGAGGGCCACCCAACAAACATGATGGCATTTTGGAGAACCTGGAACCACCACTCAACAGCTCCAGTCCACAGGAGCAGCCAGTCAAGCACATTTCATGCATCTTTCCAGCAAGCTCAGCCAACATCAGTTGATTGCAGGTGGTTTTTATTTGCTTTCTGGTTTGCTGAGACTTTAGGATGCACTTGGGTCCCATTTGCCAATTACTCTCTGCAGCCAGGTGCTCTAGATGCTTTATTGATAATTCTTCCTCAGTTTCTCCCATCATCCCATGAATCTGGGAAGTAGAGCTTTAACAAAAATATTGAGTGTCATGAGATGTTATGAAATCACAAGAACCAGCTCTGTGGTGTTCTGAATTGGCTCACCAAAACACATTAACTTGATTAATAGGTGAGTTTGTCTGCTACTGTACCCTCTGTTCCTCTAATTCAGAGCTGAAAGGAGCTTGGTAGCCATCCTGAAACTACAAAAACACAAACAGGAATTTCAGGGAAAGGAAAATTAAATGAAAGAGCTACTCCAGGCTGGGGGGCTGGGAGAGGCATGCACTATTTCTGCCTTATGGATTACAGAATATGGGCAGACTCATCTGCTCTCCTCCACAGGGGCCAGAGTGGGGGCAGTGGGGTTTTGGGATGACCTGAACAACTGATAAGAGACCCCAAGGAAGGGTGAGGATGATCCAAAAGTCCAGAAAAAGTGAAGAGGAAAGAAAAGGCAAGTGGAAAACTAGGGAGGGACACCTGATCAAGATCTTCAAACAGTTTTGCTACAGTCATAGCTTTACTTGCATCATTGTACTTTTCTGCTCTTCCACAAAACCCCACAATATTCTATTCCTTGCAACATAGAGTATAAATGACAATAGTTAGTCTAGAACAAACTTTTCAGGTGTTTGAAGAACAAGAATACACCAGGCTGTTCCCTGGGGACATGCAGGTTTGAAAGAAGCAGCTTGTCAGGTTTTACAGTGCTCTAGTACTACTCAGCAAGGATGCAGAGAGCTACAGCCCTTGCCTTACAGTTCATTTGCTACATTGCATGCAAAGATAGCTCTTTAGACTCAACACCCACAGAAATGTCATGCAAGGTTCAGCATATTATGTGTTTGAAAAGGACCTTGTCAGTCACATGGGAGGTTTTTTTTCCCCTTTCAAAATTTAAACATTCATTTGGATAAGGGCTTGTCAGATTCATTCCTCTGAGGATGCCTGAAAATAGTGGGTTTTGTTGCTCTGAAAAAAATTGTCAAGACACTTCAGGGACTTTTCTCAGGGGCTGAAACCTCCCTCTGCTCACATTTTTGGTGCAGAAAAAGTAAGAGAGAAAATCATCTCTGGGTGTTCACTCTGCTCTGGCTGGAACAGCTGTAAACATTTACCCATTTCCTCAACACCTGAAGATGAAGAAAATAAAGTGCCTTTCTGTGTTTGCACCATTTCTACAAAGCAGAACAAAGCAGGAATTTGTGTACAGTTCAGGCACTGCTAAGGACAAGGGTGCTGGAACAAGGATGCTGCTGGGGGCAAGTGCTGGGATTAAACATCCCTGCATCCATTCAGGGCACTCGTCACCATTTCAGACACCACTGAAAGGAGTCACTGCATCCGTGCTGGGGTTTCAAACTGGAAATCCCCCCAGGAGGTGGAGAAGGGATGGGAACAATTGCCCAGATTTCAGGAAATCAATGACTTATCCCTTCCTGTTTCCACTCACAGCACTGCTTGTTCTGCCTGTCCCTTTCCATGGGCTGCCTTTGTTACACGAGGGATGCAGAGGATCAAAAGCTCCCAGGTGTCAGAAATCAGGTGCAGTCACCTGAGGAACAGGGCCAGAGGTGATGGGGGCTTTCCATCAAATGGCTGCATTGTCTGGGGACAAATATTGACAGGAGTTTTTGTCTGCAAGGTGTGAAAGAAAAAGCAAACCTGCAGGAAGTGATCTTGTTGCAGTCTGTGAGTAAAATAAACAGAAAAACCTAA